AATCTCTTTACTTAAAAGAAGCCAATCTTATAAGGCAGGAATATTATTTCCTCCTCCTTTTAGAGAGATAAGAAAAGACTTAAAAGTTTTTTCCGTTAAGAACTTTTAAGTCAGGAACTATTACTGAGGCACTGTGACATGTTTTTGTAGTTAAAACCACAGCATAACAAGGGTACAATGTGCATGCAGAGTTGTAAGGTTTTTGGTCCTAATGCCTTTTCCTTGTCACATGACGTTTTCAGGGTTAAGAGGAACTCACATAACAATCTTGCATGCAATTCAGTTTCCTCAACTTTTTTTTCTTTCAAATGTAATGTACTTTACAGTGAATTTTTCATACTTTTAAATAGAGAAGTAACTATAACTTTGCTTTATATCCATTCACAATGCAATTTGAAAGCTGTCCTTCTATTTGTCAACTAGCAAAAGGTATGGTTATGTTCCTGTTCTTGAACGTTATTACTCAAAGCACAAAAGCGAGCACATGACTGTACACTGACCTTCATCTGTTCCCAAATTATGTCTTTTAAAAGCCTTGAATCTGTTTAAGGGGAGTTGCTGAAACCTGAAACGAACTTGGTCTATTGCTTTATAAAGTAGATGAATGTAAAACTTAAGTATTACATTTCAGGCTCTTACTGTACTAAATATAGCAAAATTAGGATGAGGGAGAATATAGCTGGAACGTGAGTCTGGTTTTAGAGAATAATTTTTTGTTACAGGCATCAATGATTACTTTGTAATATTTGGTATGTTTCTAGTTCTGACAGAAAATCACCATAAATTTGCAGAAGGAAAATGTCCTTCTGATCAGGTTTTTATTTCTAAAAGCAGCGACCTTAAAAAAGAAATTAACAACTCCTCCCCCCGCAAATCACACCACCACAAATTGCTAACTAGTTCTGATAGACCCAAGTCTTAAGAAGCATCTTGAATACACCTTGCATTCAAATTTTCACTTCTTGCACTCTGCTTGATTTTCGTAAGGATACGTTTAATAATGAGCAAACACATCAGCTGAGTATTCAGAGGAAAAGTAAACTTAATTAGAAAAGCAAACAGTGCATAAAATAGCTGCAGAAAGCATCTTTTGCTGTGTGTCACTGCCTAACACAACAGGCCAGAACTATGTAACACTTAGGAGCACCACCTCGATAAACTTGTTAAATAATTACAATTGAAAAGAGGTAATCAAGGATTTTTACTTTTCTTCATTCCGTTTTAGTAATCTTCACAGTTGTTTCTAACGACATAATAAAACCTTGCAATGAGCTCTGATAATGTTCATCTGCATGTTTCAAAGAAAGATTAACTTCAATGTAAGTCCGCAGGACAAGAATGATAGTAAATGCATTATTTCCCAATAGAAAAATGGCTTGTAAGTTGACAGATTTCTTGACAAGTTTACAAATTTTTGACAGTTGTCAGATGGGAACTGTAACATGCATTAAGTATTTAATCTACTTATAAAATCATAGAAACCTTCAGGTTGTAAGAGACTCTTGGAGATCATCTGATCCAACCTCCTGCTCAAAATAGGACTAACTTCTAAGTTAGGTCTGATTTCTTGTCCAGTCAAGGTTTGAATTTCTCCAGGGATGGAGGTTCCTCAACCTGTCTGAGCAAAGTGTTCCAGGACTTAACTACTCTCCGTGAGTATGTCTTTGTGTCCTGGGTCTTCCTTCTGTTACAATTTGAACCCCAATATGGTAGGAAATGCTGCTGCTTTTGTCTATGCTGACACTCAATTGACTTTTGACAACACGGGTTTTGAAGGTTTGCCTTGGTAACAGTTTATTGTGTGGCCAGTAATAATTTTGCAAAAAGTATTTTTTTTTTCTGTAACTGGCATAGGGATTGAGAGCAAGCAATTATATGTTCAGCAGAAATTACAAACTGAATAAAGCAGAGGTGACTCCAGGACTGATACCCTAGTTCTGAACAGTCTTGATCTTAAGAAAGCTCAGGAACCACACACTGTAGACTCAAGCCCACATCTGCAATAACTCAGAAGAAAAAAAAGAAGAAGAAGAAAAAAGGAGTATCTAATAAAAAATCTGCTATTTCAGCTTGTGCTAGTGTCACCCCAGCTTGCATATGGTTAAATGATCTTGACCTACTGCAATATATTGTGAGATTTTAAAAGGAGGTGACTCACACTTAAGGCAAATGAAATGACTACTGCAGTCCTCATGTTTTTGTCTTTGTATAATTTAATCAGCTGTTCATCCGAACAGTTGGAAAGGATAAATTTATACAAAAATAACTTAATCTCTCTTGCTAAATATTTTCCTGTATTAAGACTATATTCTGAATATCTGTTGAATATTGGCTTATGTTAACCTCATTTGAAATGAGAAAGAACACTGGGGCCCCAAAGGAACCCAGCACACAAGCTCTCAGTTCACTGTCATACAGCAAAGAAGTCAGTCTTAAGCAAACATTTACTTATGCTGATGAAAGAGGATGACAGATAAAGACATGAGTTAGGCTCAATGTCTGTTTTTATATGATTAGCTCAGTATTTTTTTGTGTATCATCAGATTCATTATACATACCAATTATATGTATATATATAATATATACATATGTGTACTTTACAGATCTAGCAATATGTATGTACAATTTAGGTGAACAGCCCTTTTTAAAAAATTTGGAGCATTTAACATTGTTACAGCATTTTCAGAAGTAAAATAAGTTTTGAGTACTTTTGAAAAAGGGGTCTTAATGATAGAAAAGGGATCTTAATTCTGGAAAACACCTACAATCTTCCTGAAGAAGACATACCCACTAGGAAATACTGACCAACAGGACGTGTGCCCCAGAAACCCCTCCTCTTCTTCAAGATTTTATCCTTCATTAAGAGTAATGAACCTCTAAGCATCCTCTAAGTATGAAGTCCTCTATACTCTTCAGCAACTAGACAACGTGACTTTTCCATATAACTAGCATCACAGCTGTCCTATTAAAGTACAGTAAAATGTAGGGCTTAATGCATTGTAAGGCATTTTGAACCTGACTGATCTATCTGATAATAATTGGCTTCATATTCACAAATAGAATTTATGTAAAACCATGGATTTCCTATACAGAAAGTTCACGTTATTACCTTTGGTGTCAGAAGTTGCATCGACTTTACTTGTGAAAGAGCGTTAGACATTCTACAGTTCAATAGTAGTCGCTAATAAGTTAGGATGGCAGCTGTTGTACATCTGAAGCTAACAAATGTTATGTGACCAGAGATGACTGGCATGACATGTGGCCGTAGTCTTTTCATACAGTTATGTTCTCAACTATTTTAAAAATGTCCACAAAAGTCCTTCAGAAATACTGTTCTCAAGAAGTTCATGGAAAACTGATCCTTTAATATTTACCCCACTCAGTTAGTTGCATATATTCACACGTTATCACAGAGCGATAATCTAAAGTTTAAACAAAAATAATAATACAAATTATTCATCTGGAAGTCATGTTCTCAGCACATGACTTGAGGCTGGATTCACTTGCTTGAAAGTACAGGGCATATATTAAATTTCCAGCAATCAATTATCATTTCAGCCTTTGTATCTGCGATCATAAATCCAGGCACATGCCCATATGGAGAGACAAAGTGCAAAGACAGAACTGTCTTCCAGGCAAATTCCAAAAGCATGTGTGAAGTTCAGTATCGAAATATCACTCCCTTTTCTGTCCTCATTCTCAAGCAGTATAGACATTTTTAATCTAGCTATTATTTTCCCAGTCTTTCTGGCACTTTTACCTTCACAACCTTTATATTGATAAAAAGTGTTGCTATCACTTTCTGTCCATCCCAGGTACCTACCTACACACAAAAGACTCACTGTAAGGATTTAGAGGGTTCCAACAGAGAAGAATTTCCAAAAATGCAATTGATTTTACCTACTTATTTCACACACAAGAAGAATACATCTCAACATGGTTCTGGTTACAAGTCACAATTTCTTTTGCCATTAGTGTTTTGCTACATGTTTTACATTTAATAGATTTAGAAAAGCTTTTTCTAGGGAAACATTGTTACCTTTGCTTTTTATTTTTATCTTCTAGTACCTGAATTTTCAGTGACTAGATTAATATTTATACTTTAAAAAAAGACATATGAATATTTTAGTGTTTAATAACTCTGAGACTGGGCCTGTTTCATATATACCCTATTTGTTACAATTTTGCATGAACTGATCTTTGAAGTCAGGAGTTAACTCCTTTTCTTCCCTGATCCGAGAAATACAATTGGAAAGACAGAACTAAGTTGCTGGCCATCCATTTCTTCCTGTGTGCTTAGGAGAGGTTTCAGGCATTTGTAAAGTTACTTGAATTAGGCTTTGCCTAAAACATCCTTATATAGCAGTAATGGAGAAGATTAAAATAAAAAAGTTAGCATAATACTAGGAATTACTCAAACATAAAACAGAATCTCTACCTTATTCCAAGTAATTGCCAGTGAAAAAAATCAAACAGTATGACCATAACTTTAGATTGCTTTTTAACAGTCTTTATATTAGGACAATTCCTGGAATTGTATATTCACAGGTGAGAGACTATGGTCACATACTTGGGACTAGACCATTTAATGGCACAAATAACAATAGGGTTAAGTATGTGGGGAGCAGAGTCCTTCCTTCAGGTGATATATTCACACTCAAAAAAGAAAGAGTCATACAATCCAAACTTGCAGTTCCATCTTCTATGTAATCATTAAAATGTACAATACATCATGTGCCAAAACTCTAATATTTGAAAAGTCAAGCGCAGACTAAACTTACGGAAAACATAATAAACCATGAGGAGATTTTAAAATTTCTACTAATTCTGTCTAAAATAGTAGAGAACTATCTGCAAGTATTACACAAGAAGTGAGAATTGAAGAGGAAGTTGGAAGAGAAAGAAGTGACTCTACATCAATAAGATTTGACCAGTGGAAGAGAATACAGTATGAAAAACAACATAAAGACAAAAGGAAATAACGTGATTCCATCTGTTACCTGTCATGTGTCCTCATAAAATCCCAGAACTTCTTAGTGCCATTCTGGGGGGGGAAAAAAAAAAATCCATCAGTAAAGTTAATTCCAAGTGAAAACTGACTATAATGAAATTTAACAAAATTTTAACAGGCTTTTCTTTGAAAACTTGGTATAGCTGGTTTTATTTATGAGACCATTATTCTGGATTTTGACAGTAAGTGTTATAGACGCTGAGAATTGCCTTAGGACAGTTCAAAATCTTAGATCCATAATATTATGCTGACAGCTAACTTAAGACTGTGGTAGTCTTCGGGCCCAATTTTGGCCACAGTATCAACTTCAGATTCCCAATCTAATCATTCAGGTGCTAGGAAGCTATAAGCAGCTAAGTTTTAACCAGTAAAATAACCCATAGATCTAAGTTCTTCCATGTCCAGAAATGGTCTTATCTTAGGAGGACAGCTCAGCGCTTACCTCCTAACCAAACTCATTTGGCATCCAGGAACAAGACATCCTTCCCTCTAACCCCTTACAAGGCCCAACAGCTGTTACTCTGCACTGCTTGTGGTGGTGAGGATACTGTCAAACAGTAGGTGTGAAGTCACAGCACTCACCCAAGAACTGGGAGACTTAAAATGGATTCTATTCTCAAGTTGGGCCAATTTCTGTCCTCTGCTGTCTTAAAAAAATGATGCCCACCACAGCACAGCTGAAACCAATCCCTGAAAACAAGCATTCTTCCACAGTTACAGTGAACACGTACACACTTGCTTACATCTATATTCTATCTTCTATAATCACCTATATCAATTCATACACACCAGTTAACAGAGACACATATATAATTCTTCACCCTGCTTATTAGAAGTGTGAAGGTATTTTTCAGCTGAAATACAACTCAAGAGATTTCACTCCTAGGTCAGTTTTAAGTCTATATAAGGAATCACTATGCAACCAGAAGAAATTCTTTTGGTTGATACCTTTCTCTTATTAGCAAGGCAAAAACCAGACCTGCTGAAAACCTACATACCTAAAATACGCTTAATGTGAAAAGCAGCACAAGCTCTCTATTATAAAGTATGGTTAAATGGATGATCAAACCCTGAGCAACTGGTTAATGATTTAAAGCAGGTAAATGTGAGCAATGAAAGAAGAATCAAGTTCAGTTGGTGGGTAAAGGTGCCAACCAATATAGACAGGCCCTTCAGCTCTATTACAGATGTCATGGCTACCAAGTACACAACAGCTGGTGGGGATTAGATAACAAGCACTCTGGTTCAGAGATTAAGCTCCTGAGCTTTATGAGTTTACCAAGCTTTTTGGAAGAGGGACTGTTTGCTTGCTAGCTGGGTTTTCCTTCATTCCCACAACTCTAATTATAAACAGTTGTTCACCTCAAGAGAAACTCTAGTCTACTCTTCCATTGGTGTCTGCACATACCTTCTGTTAGCACTGACAGGAATCAAACGCGTGCATTAGAAGAGAAGCCCTGTCATTGTTTAAATGCAATATAATGTTGAAAGAGAAATAAAGACAGCAAATTCTCAGTGTGAACTGAAATATTAAAGCCGTTGTTTATCAAGCTGAGTGTATATCCAATCCGTTCCACCTGGTGAGAGGTAGAGGAACAACTTTGAAAGGACTATGACACAACACATAGTTTTAACACTTGAACTTAATAGCATAGGCTATGTTGTGTGGTAAGATAGTTTAAGGTATTAAATGTGTAAGGTCCACTCAATCCTTTCGTAGGTTTATTTCTACCTGTAAGACATGTATTTGTGGGATTTTCTCTTGTTTGCAGATTGCTGTGCCATTTTCTATTTGACATGAGTGAGTTGGGAAACTGTGGACCAAGGATAATGTCTTCTGCATGTACCTTCATATTGATACTTCAGTTTCAACCTTCCCCTGCCCCAAATGGTAAGATGTGCTACCATCATCCATTCTCCCTTTGTAGTGTCCACTTGGGAGAAATGCAGGTGTCCAGCTGATGGAGAAGACAAAAAAAGCCCGAATCAAGGCTCTCCTTGCATTAATTTAGGCTATTAGTCCTATGATACCACTTCCTAATGTATGATCCCAGCAACAATCTTCCTGGCTCTTTCCTCCATTTTGCAAATTATAGAACCTGATTGCTTTGGAGCACTTAGGAAAGGGTTTCAAATAGCTGAGGAAAATTACACCCTAGAGAATGATCCTCATCCAGATGGGATCCATCAGATTTGAATGACCTCTTCTCAAGGATGAGCCCCATTAGCATTAACAGGATCTACCTCACAGACATGCACATAATTTTTAACAGAAAGTAAAAGAAGGAACTTAGTACCTAAAAAGAAATTAATCAGAAAATAAAATCTATATTTTCTATTTTCTAAGTGGCTGGACAGTACATAAAGCACTTTCTCTACAACATGATTTGATTAGTTTAAGAGCCAAATTCAAAACCAGCCACAGGCTAAATTAATTTGACTCTGTCCATTCAAGATGTTGGTTATCATCATACACTCTAACTGGACAATGTTTGTTAAGCTATTTTCTGCCTATACGTGAATAAAAAATTATTTCATATGATCAACCTGCACCTGTCCAAATAAATAAATCAATAAACAAATGAAACATTCCAACATCTCATTGTTTACAGTGGCAGAAACTCAAATGAGCCCCATTCATGCCTTATTGTCCAAGTCAAATGTAATTTGAACCCAACCGTATGGAGTTGAGTTTCTATTGTACCCAATGCGTGGTTCTTTCCTAACAGACTAGTATGAAGGTTGCTAATTATTAATAGCATGTAAACAGTTACCAATGGTTCTTATGCTGCTTTACATACTTTACAGAACATTAATTCTAACCAGTTTCTGACCAAGTATATCAAGCTGTATGTAATATCTCTATCTTATCTTTAAGACAAAAATATTAATTGCTGAAACTGATCAAGATTCATGCTTTTAAAAGCCAAGTAGCCATGATTACTTGTTAAACTGTTCCATTCCATATATCCTGATCTTTGACAATGCTCTCCTATCACCACAGTTACAGACAGTAGAAAAGAATTAAAGGTATCAATGGTCAACATCACTCCCAAAAAAGAGAAGTATCTTTGTGAAATACAAAAGCTCTCTCAAACCCTTAATGCTCTTCATTTTAATAAACATATATATTTGAATTATTTTAAAATAGTCCATTCTCCAATGTCTAAAAAGGAACAATCAAAGTATCTCTCAATGAAGTGAGAGAAGTAAGTATAATTGAATGCTGGGAGATCTAAACACTGACGTCGGGAAGGAGAAAGGAGTATATTACTACATTTGAGAAAGATTTAAAAAATTATTCTTCAAATAGGAAACGTCCTGTGAAGTTTTATAAAGACAAATATGTCAAAAATATTTTATATTAGCTTTTATCTGTTCAGAATAGCAGTTCTGATGCTGCAACAACCTTGTATAACACATATTTGATTTGGTAAATCTTTAATCACAGAGTAATCACGCTCTAGTTCTGTGCTCAGTGATCAGGTTCTGTGATGTTGCAATGCTGAACTAGTGCATATAGTATGTGTAAGTTAATAAAGCTGTATTCCAGGAGAGGCAGCATGTGAGACAACTTCGTTTCATATTACACAGAAGACAGATTACTTACATAAGCACAAATTGCGTAAGAAAGCCGTATCAGGTCAGATGAGATGTCCATCTTGCCTGGCTCTAACAGCAAAAGGAAAATTTAAGAACAGAGGAAGCATACAGCAATGCTTCCCCAAAATACTCTTCCAAGCCTTTGACAAAAGGCAGCTGAAGGGTGTCAAAAGACAATCCCTTAAAAAGGCATCCAAATTAAACAGTCCTCCCCTCATCCCGAAAAGCAAGCACTAATAGCCATTTCTGTACTATTTGAATGTGCAATAGTGTGTCACAAGTCCTGCTCATCTTGTCTGTAAGACTGACTTGATAATGGCATTGACAACTTAGTCAGAATTACAACAGTATGCTACTAGCTTGACAGTCTGCACAGGAGAACTCAATCCCTTTTGGTTCGAGTGATTCCAGGACAACCACGCACTGCAAAGAGCTCTCTGCTAGACAAGTGTTGACAGTGGATGCAAGTTCCGCAGATGTGACTCCTACCAGTGGAGAGCTGTTTATGATGCCACCCATACTTGAGATGTCCTCCTTCCATCCTTGAAATCATTCTCCTAAGGCTCTTCCTGCACCTGCTGATTGCCATAATTACAGGCAGGAGCCTGTTCACACTGTCTGTTACGGATAAGTTGGACTTGTTGTACTGAAGCCTATAATCAAATTACCATTCTTTTTCCCACCTACACTCTCTCTCTCTCTGGCTAAAATGCCTTAAGAATCACTGCACCAGGGATATCTCTGTCTTCTGCTTTCCTCCACTACCTTAGGCTATATATGTCTGAACAACATGGTCAAATTGCTGTCAGGATACCTATGCAAAGGATAACTTTTGCTTACTAGAGCAACTCGCCTAAGGCTTAGCCCAGGCTAACCAATAAAGAAAATAAAAAGGACATGTTCTGCTAGTGATGTAGGAAGAAACATTCACTGGCACTGATGTTATGGTGATATGGGGTGTGCTCCACATGTGACAGACCCTGGACATGCTCTGAAACAAGTCACCTGGGAGTTTCCCTCTACACTTAATTTGGGGCAGCTTGAATGCCTTCCCCTATCTTTTCCCTGAGGGCAGCACCCATACATGGTCTGCCACCTGAGAAACTCTTGAATCAGCTCATAGGTCAGGTAAAAGTGTCTCCACACATACCAGTACTCAGCTCAGTGTTACACTGATACCCCCAACCCAAACAAACCAAACCCCCCTCAGTTTGGCTGTGGTCTCTACTGTTGTGTACAGCCCTGCTGGGACTCACAACAATTTCTCTGTAGATGCAGCTTTTTCAAATGGAGGGAATAAGTACTTAAACACAAGTTTAGAGAGGCAGATGTAGGCCTTTCCTCAAGGACCATCTCCAAGGACCCTCCCAAAGAATAGGATCTGTTTATAAATAATGGAAGTGAGTTAGATTTGTGGTGCCCCAGTTACAAATAAGACGACCTGCACCTTTCCAATGCTACTGAGTTTCAAGATGAGGAAGAGAAAAGGATAGTGGTGCAGCAGGCTGTGCCATGAGGCTAATGGTATTCTAGGTACAGTGCCACACTAAGGGCTGACATGGCAGAAGTCTGTAAAATCATGAATGACATGGAGATGGTGAATGTGAAACAATTATTCACTATTTCTCATAATACAGAAGCACTATGCCATAGTTGGCTACCTGAGGAGAAAAGGCTAAGGCTTATCTGGGCATTGAACTGTCTCCTTTCAATGAATCAGTGCTAAAGTCCAGCAGCTGCACAGAGAAGGTTGCCTTGCTTGTTTTATGTATAAAACAATTAACTGATAGCTTCTGAAACACCTACCGTATTACATGTATGTTTTAAACACACGTAATTAAAGGTTTATACTTCTTAGATTTTATTAGAAGTTTTATTCTGAAGAGTAAACCGAAAACATGTTAGTGTAACAGGTGCAAGAACACTCACAAAACCTCTTTAAATGCTTCCTTTAACTCTATGTAATAATTGTTTCACAACATCACACAAGGGTGTCTAAAATAACTCCTCAACACGCAGGTTTACAGTAACAGATTTCCTGTAGTTACTCTGTTGGGAGTTCAGACCATTCAACAAATCAAAATTTATGTTGGATTTGCACTGATTTAAATGACTTCTTGTAATGACCTCTGGACAGACAACACGTGACTGAAGCAGAAACAATCTTTACCCAAAATCTACGGAAAGCTTCTCCTGTCTTATGTGCTTTACTTAAGTATTTAATAATTTAAAAAGCGACTGAATTAAAGGCACTGCCCTATGTCATCTCCCATGTTTAATCACAGAAAACTTCTGCTTGGACAGACAAAGCCAAAGTTGCCAAGAACTGTAAAGTCACACCAAAACCACCTCAGTAAAAAGGGTTCATACCTTGTATTACGGATTTTTGAGGAGACTGGTAACAGGCCACGCAGGCAGATCACTTAAAATGTTGGAGACCTACATCCAAAATAAACAAACTAACTTCACATATGCCACTAAAAGAGAAAAAAAAAATCTCGGTGACAAAGATTAGCTTCTTACTGTTTACATTACAGGAGAGACAACACGACGTTTGGCGACCCATTGTGATAGGCACTAAACATATGTAGTGGGAACAGTTCCTGTTCAATGATCTTACAATTCAGTTAGAGCCCAGGCAAAAGTTGGTGTAAACAAACAGAGGCAGTTAAGGGAAAACGACAAATACATTATGGTATAGATAAGCTACATGCCCAAGTTATGAGGGTTAAAATGACAAACAACAGTCATGATCCCCTAGCCTCTACCAGTTGGACTGGGTTTAAAGCAGTCATCCAAGAAGTAAATGTTCCATGTTTGCGAAAAAACCCAACTCGAGAGGTTGAAGCAATTATAACATAAAAATAACTCTGTCCTCACTGCTCCATTTACTCTGTTTCCACGCTCGTAAGATACAAAAGTAGTTAATGTCCTTAATGCAAAGGGATTATGACCATTCTTCATCCAATAAAATAACAACACTATAGGTAAAGAAAAACAGGTAAGAGAATTAATTGGCAAATAGCGGTCTTAAACCAGAGTCAGCAAAGCCAAGCAAGTGTGCGGTCCCTGTTTAACGATTTACATGTAACAAAGCAGTAAAACTTCCTAGAGGAATAACCAGATTTTGCTTTTGTCTGTTCTCAAAAATTTTTTTAAGGTATGAGGGTATTTTTTTTCTTTAAAAGCCTGTGTAAAACTTGTTTTTCTATTGCACTCATTTTCACATTCAACCAATCTTCTAAAAATTTATCCACACAGTTTAATATCAATGTGCACAGCAATGCCTCTATCTGGAAGTTCGCTACGCATTCTCTTATTGAGGTGTCTACTTGTTGCCCAGAATCGCATGGCAAGAGAACACCAAACTTGTCACTTTATTAGATGGGTTTTCGTCAGGTTAATCCAGATGAGCAGCACGCCTAGGGAATCAAGTAACTGACTCATGAAGACAGACAAAAATCTGCAGCAACGCAGCCAGCTCCTGCAGCCTCCTGCCACCTTTATTTCCTTAAGTGGTCTTAACTTAATGCTTTTCAGTCATATTCAACTTTTTATGACCAATAAAAGCTGCCAAGAGGTAAATTCGCAATAAAAGCAACTCAGTAATTCATTACTTTTTGATTTATAAAATATATGCTCCTACAATGGGAAAATACGCCCTGAAGGTGTGCATTAGCTGCTGCTTCTCCTTGAGTCACAGTTCTTGAGCTAAACAGAGTGAACTTCCCCTATTGTAAACCCAGCAAGATAGGAGATACTGGATGATAAAAGTTCAGCCTTCATCCCTCTGTAAATGAACCTTTCCCTTCCTTTCTCCACCCACTACAGAAGAAGTGCTCCTATCAGTTGACATTTCCTTGTTACATTTCTTTTTTCAGCTTAATGGAATCTGATGTCACATCTGTAGCACTTTTCAGTGGAAACATATGAGGATTTATAATCTAATATAAACCATTTCTTGCCAGCTGAATTATTAATGCTATAACTCTTTGTTATATATAATAAATACATAATGTTTCCAGTGTCCACAATGATATGCCCACAGAAGCTGTACTTCCAGGCAAATTCAAGACTGAATACTTTTTGCTTTTCACTTTCCTATCATACAATTAGTGACCAAATTACCTTGCACTGTCTTGAGTATTTTTCATAGTATTTTCAACACTGTGCCACATACAAAAATTATGTAAATAAATAAAAAAATAAACCACCAGCTTTGACCCCCAAAAATCCATAGATTGGGATTTTTTTAAAGATATAAAGAAAATAAAGCATTAGTAGTCAACATGATACTGTGAAACCTGTATGAAGAACAGAAATCAAGCAGAGAGAGACAGCTAAAGCAAGTTTGGACTTGTGAAGTTTTCCAAATAAGGATAAAATAAAATACCTGTTCCATACAGTTTAAAAGTTTCATTGCTTCCTGCTGAGCATTTTTAATTGGATTAATAAGTTAGTGGGGTGGTTTTTTGTTTATAGAAGCTAAAGGGCTGCCACGCTGTATATAAAAATCTTCTTCATCCACAAAAAAAACAGTGCAAAGGAACAGGCAAAAATTCAAGGACAATTAATATTCAACTTTTTCATCTAAAAGAAAAACCCTGTCCTGAACAGCATTGCTTCCTGTTGAGTATTTTTAATTGGATTAATAAGTTAGTGGGGTGGTTTTTTGTTTATAGAAGCTAAAGGGCTGCCACGCTGTATATAAATATCTTCTTCATCCACAAAAAAAACAGTGCAAAGGAACAGGCAAAAATTCAAGGACAATTAATATTCAACTTTTTCATCTAAAAGAAAAACCCTGTCCTGAACAGACTATTTTGCATATGAAATCTGTTTGAAATAATGACTTATAACAGGTTTTTTGTCTACTTTAAAGGTTTGATTTGTGATAAGCAGGGAGAAAGCTGTCTTCTTTTTATATAATTACAGATTTCATAGAAAGCATTACATATCTTTCAAAATGAAAGGAAGCACTTTCAGCTGGCATAAAACCATGCAACTCAGTTAAAAAAAAATAAAATCAATAAAATCATTCTAATTTGCATTAGTTGAGTGCCTGGCACTCTTTTTTCCTTTTGAATGTACACATCAGTATTAGGGAACTGTCTTATGCTTGGCTATCATATTACACAACTACTAATTTAAATGCAAAGTGTTGCTATTACACTCACTCAGTCCTAGGGTGCAGTCCCCTAACAGTGTAAGTCAATCGAAACCCAGGCTGCCCCTTTTTCTACCCCAGCTGCACATCTCTGCTCTACCCCTACCCCATCATTGGCATTTGTGTGACCACGCAGCGAGCTTGTTCTGGGAACTGATCTGATAAAAAAAAAAAGTGCTCTACTATAAAACCTGATGAAAAAATTGATTTTTAGTAGTTAACATGAATGTAATGCCATTATATACATACCAAGTTTTCACCAATGACTATTAAACAGAACAGCCTTGTTCTATTTATTCCAAGAGGATAGAGATGTATCTGATAAGGAGCGTTCTAGAGAAAGACACATGCACACAAAAAAGCCTAAATTACAATTTCAGTCCACACCCGCTAATCCACTCCATCAGACTGCACACACTGGAGTAAACGAAGCCTCATCTTCAAAAGCAATTTGCAGAATTACTTGCTGATGTTGAAGAACTACTTCAAAAGAGTTTAAGTGTTATGGAATTTTACTGGTTTTTAAACAAGCCACTGTTTAAGCTCAAGAGGAAGGGGGGGGGGAGTGTTTGTTTTTTAAACAAAGCTTGTAAGATTTCATTACTGAACCATCCAGAATGTTTATTTTAAAAGCATCATGATTACAAATAATGGCATTTTGCAGTTTTTAACTTACCTGTATTCAAATGTTTCAGTTAGAAATGACTGTTTTTACTGCCTATGTGGAATCTGCATCCAAAAATACACAAACTGATGACTTTTCAACAACATTAAAAATGAACGTTCTATCTAAGGGAAGGGGGGGGAGTGTTTGTTTTTTAAACAAAGCTTGTAAGATTTCATTACTGAACCATCCAGAATGTTTATTTTAAAAGCATCATGATTACAAATAATGGCATTTTGCAGTTTTTAACTTACCTGTATTCAAATGTTTCAGTTAGAAATGACTGTTTTTACTGCCTATGTGGAATCTGCATCCAAAAATACACAAACTGATGACTTTTCAACAACATTAAAAATGAACGTTCTATCTAAAGCACAAACACTACTGCTGTGAACTGGCTTTAATTGACAATATTAGCAATTTTGTAAGTAAGACTAAGCTAGCGAAGTTCATGGGGACAAATCATCCCATACACTAAAGAACAACGTGCCAGCTCCAGCTGACACAGCAGTTCTGGGCAGGGCAGGGCAGGGCAAAGCTGCTGTGGTCTCTCCACCACACCCGTTTTATGTATACGGATCTTGAACAAGAGACAGAGGTGCTCAGCTCTATGCGATAGCAAACTCTTTGAGGCATGGACTTGACCTCTTCTCTGAAATTAGCTGGAAGACATAAAGGTACTTCTTGAAGAAAACATAATGTATAGCAGTGGAGACCACACCAGGGATACCTCAAGAGACATAAAACCTAAGGTCACAGACTGTAATTTTTACAACCCGTATCAATTTTCTCTTCAAAGTGAGGGTTATTCTGGTAGGAGTTTGTAATGAAACTGCAAACAGATGGTTATGGCAATACAGTTTACTGTTCAAAGGTGCAATTTTTTCACACTTTAGGAGGTAAAATAAACAATGGAGAACGCATTAATTTATTCAACTGTTAATGCAATACTGGGCCAAGCCACTTTGTTCATTTTATGTACATCAACTGCCAGAACAATTACAACTAAGATACTTGATGTGTAAGTAAACTTTCTCGTATAATCCTCTGGAAGTTTACTTTTCAGGTCACAGTTTGTTTTTTGTGTGTACTTTTCAACAATGGAGTTGTTGCAGTTTAGCTTGGCATTCAGCTATCAGTACGATCACTTACCTTTGAATGAAATTTATAAAACATGAGAATTAAGCATATCTAAGTACACTAAATTAAGTCAAATCTCCTTTCTCTCCTTGTTTTTCTGTTTTTAATATACATATTATTAAGAACAATTGCATATACATATCAAACACGCTTTATTCCAAGGAAAATACATAGTAGCATACTGAAATCTATACTACAAAGAATAAGGATATGGTGCTTGCATTAAGAAACACGATATGCACAAAGGTCAAATTTATGACTTTTCTCACATCATTTTACTGCCAGGTCAGCATATAATTTAAGGTTATAAGTTGAGATACAGATGCGGCTTTCCTAGTACTGAGTTAACTCCAATTCTATTGCAAGGAACCAATTGCTAATAGGTAGAGTTTTCAGACTCTGGTGTTATTGTATATAAATGATAAAATTTAAAGCAAGTATTCAACTGCTCTGTGTTTTACTTAAATTCCTGTCATATTATTAAATTTTGCTGCATGTATTTTCCCATTTTCACTAAACTGTTTTCCCTTTGAAGTCTGTGACACACTTTCTTATTTTGCAGGGATAAAAGGAACATACACTTTCCATATTTACAAAATTACTAACACTACTTTTTCCACAAAGTTATAGTAAAACTTGAAATCTGAAATTTTGACTGGACACAGTTAAGGAATATATTCCTAGTACTGAAAGATGATTTAACAGATAATAGTATCACTTGCAAACTGTGTATTCAGCTGACGTGACAGCAAAATACTTTCCTGTAAATAAGTACTGTACTTTCAAACAGATGTATTACACATCTCACACAGCCACTTATATCCATACTTGCTGAAAACCTGCACAGCAAAGGCCACCTTTGTAATCTTTTCCCTGTATTTTTTCTGTTGTTAAAGAAAAAAATCTCACACAATTTACTTGCAAAATTACTATCAAAAGGACAAAAACTCAGGAAATTTAAACCACTAAGACCTCTTTTGCCATACTTTCTGCTTTATCTGACCTAAATCAGCACTTCCTTCAAAATAGCATCCCCCTCCCCTTTCCTTGCTGTCTGCACGGTCTCCTGCGTGCAAACAGCACAAACATTTCTGCAACCACACACTGAGCCACACTAAAGGTGTCACCTGGTTAAACCAACTCAGCACAGAAAAGCTTCTCCATTGCCAGTCATGTTGCCGCTGCACAAAGGTATGTGCCACACAAAAGAGGGGACAACTGTACCTGTAATTTCATGTCTCACATTCTACCATTCTGTTCTGCCAAATAATTAAGGACATACTAGACTTGATGACGTTCAATGGGATTAATACACGTATCTTTGAAGAGGATCAGAAGATAGAAGCAATTGAGACAATTGTCCTGGGTAAATGGTGATCAGAAATTGTAACATTTTGTCTTCTGAATTCTGTATCAGGACAAGCAAAAGTGATACTAACATTAAAAGCACATCCCCGTGGAAAAGGAGCATGGAATGTTTTTTTTTTAGTCTATTGTACACATGACACATCCAGTGAACATTAAGGGAAATGAAAAATAAAATCCCCTGAGCAACCTCAGAGGCTGAGAATAAAAGCCAGGGAAATACCTCAACCAGAGAGCTGCTGAGAACTCCTAGGTGTTCTGTGTTTCATTTCTTTTTCTGGAGTTTTCCTTATTTGTATAAATTGTTAGGTGTCATTGAGTTAGAAACAAACAAACACGGCCTTTGTAGTTCAGTAATAAACGAATCTGAGGAACAAGAGACATGGGTTCATATCCCTGCTCCAATTTATAATAATTCATGAACAACTCCAAAAGACGAGATTTAAGAAAGCACTTTGTAGTATTCAATAACCTTCACTTTTAAGGTACTCACTGGAAAGAGGGAAGATCTGAGTTTAGACTTTACTCTGAACCACTGTCATTTCAGGCAAACGCCAGAACCCCAAAATAACATCTAAACACCTTTATTGAATAATGTCATATTCTGTGGTGGGATTTAAACTGCTATGTTTGTCCTAAGATTACAAAACTATTTCTGCTCTGCTACCTGATGAAGTCTTAGTGAACTTCAGTGAGACTTATTCCTGCAAATTCCTTTGGAAAATGGCACTTACTCTCCTAAGTCACTAAAGACAACATTTTCCAAACTACTAAATTTTACTGAGAGACAGCTAACTATAAGAAAAATAAACTTTGTTTTAGATTTTTTTTAAAGAGACCAAAAGAATGAAAAACATCTCCAGGAAACCTGTTTTAATCTTTTCTGGTCCATTGGCAGCTGCTTCTTTTGACCACAGAGTTACTGACATAAAGGGCCTGACTGTGAAATTTCAGATGAGTTATGTTTAATGACAGGCAGGGGAAATAATTCTGCATTCATCATAAAAGACCTAGATCAATTATGTCTGTAGTAGCTGCTTCAAGATAGAGTGAGATTCAATATAAAGTACCCATTGCGAGTCCGAGACCCCACAGTAGATGAGAAATTTCACTTCATATTCTTGAACTCCTTCCTGTACTCATCCTGTGCGCTTGTTAGTCAAAATATCCTTTCGACCCCTTAGGAAGAGGACTCTCCAAATGATACATACTGGACAAACACTGCTTTGGTCCAAACCACATTCCCACAACTTGTGATTCCCCTGACTGCTTACTGGTATAGCACCCCAAAGAACTGGGACTGCTGAAGACAACCGCGTGTAGAATCTCTGGCTCAGAGAGGCATCCAGCCCACTGACTTTGCCAAGATTTAGGGCTCTCACCTCATCTCTGCAGGCACAGCAAGGAGAGAAGCAAACACAAGTATAGCAAGTAGAAGGAGAAAATGAATCTTAAAATCATCAGTCCCAAGGCAACCACTACGCCTACAAGCATAATTTTTTCTTTGCTACCCTAGGTCATGACCCTCACCCAAAAGAGGAAGGAAAGAAACTGTCCTTTCATCATTAATTTTGCTATCCCATTCAGGAAAACAACACTGACAACACCATAAAACCACAGTTTAAGTTGCCACTGGTATTTCAGCCAAATGCTAATCACCACCATCAATTGTCTAATATTTCTCATTAGCTCTTTAGTCATTCTAACAAATTCCACTGCAACTTATACAGCGTCTGATTAAAATCTTCTCTGGTTGACAAAGAGCCAGCAGAAAAAAAAACCCATCCCTCTTCTACCACAGTACTGGACCACTCCATTTTTAGATAAATAAAACTCCATTCAAAAACTATGCAGTTGATGAATGCTGGTTTAATTTCAGAAACAAAAACTACTGACTATGTCACCTGAAGCAGAACACTGATAAGAAAAAGCCTGTGTATAGGCTGGGGGGGGTGTAAAATTGGATTTTAAAAAAACAACACAGAAAACAATGTAATGCATGACTTCAAAGTTACTTGGTTTTGCAAATGCACCTGTAAAGCAATAGCGTGGATAGTGTAAGTATGATTTTAAAAAGTAATTAACAAATTTATTCATTTATCTATAACTTATGAAGGACAAAATATT